CTCTGTCTTTCCTTTTGTTTTAAAAAGATTAGTTCCTATGAATATAGATACCCTATTAAATTCAGGTACAAGCATATGCTCAAGCACCTGTGATAGAATCTTCTCTTGCACTTAAGGTGTTTTGTTTTTGAAGAAAATATCTGCATATAGTCAAATCTTCCTGCTGTTCTAACTAATCTACTGGAGAGGTTTCCCTCGCCTACTCCTGTCAGTCTAACTTCCCAAGTGTAACAGATGCCGCTCTCAAGCGCTCCTTTCTGTGGTTTCTCTTTATTCAGCCTCGCATATTTCTCCCCATGATCAGGGTTTCCATAGAGAGAGGAATAAAAGAGGGGACCATGGTCACAAATCCCCTACCCCATGCAAAATAAAAGGGCTTCATTCAATAGACGACCCCGTCTGGACATGGGAGAAAAATAAGTCCATGTGAAGCTACTGTTGCAAAGAGCTGGTAACTTATTTTGGGTAGAGTGAGTGCATTTTGCCTTAAACTCTCGAAGTAACTATTGGTAAACCTTCTCTCTTTGGTAGCTGGACTGTATACACGGCTTGGTGTTCTCTTCACCTTGATCTTGAAGTTCACTGCTGGGATCTCAGATCTGACTTACCCCATGCCCTCTAGAGCTACGGTTTGAATATAATAGCTGCCCAACCTTACCAGGCTAGGGCAGCTAAAAGTCGCTCTGGAGAGGAGACTGATTTAAAAGTGGATGAACTGTAATTTTAGCAAGTTCACACCCCTATTTCCAGCAAGGAAGCACAGCTTTCAATTTCCTTGCCAGATCAGTACAAGGCACCAACTTCATTCCTCCTTGGTTTGCCTTCATACCCCAAATCACCCCCTCACCCTATGTATCACTTTGCTTGGTTTCAAAGAGGGTAATTCAGTTAATTTCAAAAAGCAGTTTCAGATTGGCTTGATTTACTTGTATGTTTATTCAATTTGTAACCTGGGGGTTCACAGTGGCTCTCTTCCCTTGCAGGATTTAAGGATATATGACAACTCTTGAGAGACTTCACAGACACTCCTTCCCTCCTTTTTAAAACAAGAAAAGACTCACAAAAAAATTAAGCAGATTGATGTGGTTCAGGTCAAGCTCCTGTGGAAGCACACGAGCATGGTTGCAACTGGGCAGCCTGTGCCCATAGTCTTTCAGAAAACCATGGGTATTATGCCTCTTGTAGATTTCATATATGGGTGTAGATTAGAAGTGTTCTTATTATCCATACAAATTGGAGGAGGGGGAGGTAGTTTTGGGCTGGGGTTGGTGGGTGGGGGAGAAAGGGGGTCAGGAAAGAAGTCCAAAAGGCCAGATTTGGATGTGTATAATACAGTATGAAGTTCCAGACGGTAGGATGTGGCATATAGGCATGACTTCAAGATTGAAAACTTCACCTTCATCAGAGATTCACTTGGAAACATGATGAGTTAGATTGGGCTTGGTAGAGACAAGTACAGTTTCTTTTTATAACCAGGGAGCTCAAAGGGGAAGGGAAACAATTGAACAGTTTCTAAAAACAGCAGAGAAAGAAGCCTTTTTTTTTTTCTACTGTTTGTACATTGAGCTCATGAGACTTTCTCCTTGTGAAACACAGATGCTGCTGCTGCGGCTGCTGATGGGGCTGCTGCAGCCACCACTGCAGCCGCCGCTGCAGCCACCTTCTCTTCTTCTTCTTCTTCTTCTTCTTCTTCTTCTTCTTCTTCTTCTTCTTCTTCTTCTTCTTCTTCTTCTTCTTCTTCTTCTTCTTCTTCTTTCTTCTTCCTCTTCCTCTTCCTCTTCTTTTCCTGCTTAATTCTGGACAAACTCTGGGGAAGGTAAGGGATTCATGATATTCTGGATAAGAATTTTTAAAAATTAGATTGCATAAGCAGACATTAGCTAATCCTGATTCAAGCTCTATTAGTTCTTTTTTATTTATTTATTTTTAGATCTCTGTTGGCTTTCCTCTAATGTGAAGAAAATAG